AGTGCAATAAAACGTATATTAAATTAACATAATTATCTTTAGGGATTACGGAAGCATTCTCCATTGGACTGAAAATTAATAATCTAATTAATTTGAAAATGATCTGCAGCTGTTAAAGTTTTTCGTCGCTTTTGAGTAAAAAAAATCTTTGATACATAAATAATTTAGCTATTAAATAGCATGTAATTGTTGTTAATTAAAATTACGTGTTAGCGAGCAGGCAAGCCTATCATCTCCAGAATTATGATTCGACGCATGAAGTGAGATTTTCTCTGAACGAAAGGATATTTTTAAACACGGACAACACGTAGCTCGACTAAATGACTATAGATTGATTGTTCCTGGTAGATGAGCAAGGTACGTACGAATCATTCGATCCTTTATAGAGGATCGATCGCCTAATCAGGATAGGAGAATTCAAGGTCTGCAATGGGCTCGCACAGCTGCGAGACAGGCCTGCTGTAAGATCCATGAGCAGATTGTCTCGATATCACGCGCGTCAAATCAAGGAAAAGAAAGAAAGAGAAAATATCGTGATAACGTGTAGACGCGGTGTCTTATCGATCGTTAAAAGCAAATAAATCAATTACGCAACACTTCACTTGTTACTGATCGGCAGGTTCAATGCGAGTTATCAAACGAATTATCACATTGATCGTGTGATACTTTTGTGATTTGAATATTTTTTACGAGAAAAAAAAAAAAAAAGAGACGAAGAGTTATACCGCTTATACTTTTAAATGAGTTTAATGTAAAGATCGTTTGAAAACGGTGGGGATTGATGTTTTGAAAATTTTTGAACACTTTTTAGTGAAACGCAGTTAAATAAATGTCAATTCAAAAATGTTCAATTCACTGTTTGCAGAAATAGTTGCGTGATTCTCAGTGATATAAGGGGATAATTGCGCAACGCAAAGATTACTTATCGATAATCAATTTCGTATGAATAATTCTTTAGACTCAAGAAATAAGAAAACTCAGAAATGTAGGTTTTTTCCTATCTATATTCATAGAAATGTTTGTTTCCTTTGAAAAGTAGTTCTCGTCAAGCTTGTTTGATTAATTCTTCAATTATAAGATCGAACAAATCTCGCAGATTAATCCATAAATCAAAGTTAAACATTCCGATCAATTGCTGCTCTGCTGAGCTGTTTCGTACTTAAACATTTCGCACGTTTTCAGAGAACTTTCACAGTTTCGTGCAAATATCGAAGAAGACGAACATTTATAAGTAATTGCAAGTCTTTGTTGATTTTATGTCACGTTAATTTCGTATTACTATGCTCACATATATGTATATGCGCAAAGTGCATACGTAATTCTTCCATCAAAGAGATCCAAGTTCCTTTCTGACACAAAGAATGATCTCACACGTGATCTTTCCGTAGTTGCAACTCGTTCGAAACGTCAACGACTGATTTCGAATTAATGACGTATTAAATTGACGCGTAAGGAAATGTTCTACGAGCTGTTTTTCGAGTACGCGATTTTTGACGCGATTTCCTGCAGCCTAGTTTCCATTGCAACGCGACCTTGGCCGCATCGTAAAAAGTTCCCAATCGCCTCTCACCTAATTGAAAATCAAGACAAATTTGCAACAAGATCTTTATCTAGCAGATAGATATGCCATTTTATCGTGAACGGGAACAGGAAAGATTATTCAGCCGTGCAACCACAAAACTCCGAAAGAAAAACGAAACGTCGAATAACGAGGTTCGTTAACTGTCCTTTCATTATGTCCTTCGAAATATTCCACGGAAATGAAATAAATATTACGGTCGCGTTGCTTATCGCAAGGTAATGCTATTTCGCGATATCAAACGAGCGAGGGAACATAATACTAAACGTGAAGCTGATAAATCTGTTGAAATTAGAAGAAAACTGTTGGCTCATGACACGAAATGACATTTGTTAAATTGTTTTTGGCCTTTTGTACGTTATCACGGTTATCTGTCATTAAGACATTGTTGATAATGATCTTCCATCGTGATTCATCATCGAATCACAACTTCGTGATTTTAATTAAATGCAATTAATTTTGTGATGTGAGCGCGCATGCACTCGTAAAATGAATATTTTGTTAAAAAAAATCGTGTCGTACAAAAATATTAATAGAACATTGGAGATTCTGAGATATTTTTCTTTTTGTTCTTTTTTATCTTTTGTATCAGTTTTTCATTTTAATTATTTTTTTTTATAAATGAGATTACTTGTGACTACTAGACGATCGTGTCTTAAATAATAAAAATATAGAAATATATAGAAATCGTAGAATAAACAATATTATTAATAGAAGTGTTTATTAATAAAAAGTAGTATATTATTATTACTAGAACAATATTATTAATAGAAATATTTAGTAAATAAAATTAATTACATTATTTCGTATTTGTACAAATTTTAATCTTCATCTGTATCTCTGTATTCTAACACATTCCATTCTAATGTTCCTACTATGTACACGGAAATTCAAAGAAACATAGTAAATTACCGAGGATCGTTACTCTTCGTGTCGATCGCCTGTAAAATGTTCAATTTTACATCTAAAAGTTGAATGAGTTGGTCATCCATTATCCAAGAAAATTCTATACCGAAACTCTACGATCATTCGAGATCGTCGATTTAAGGTCGTATCGATCTAGTAGCAATGCCTCTCCTAATCAAACATGTCTCGTGACACGTACGTTCACTCGTTAGTTCACTAGTTAATCAACGAATGATACAGACTTTGTTAAGGACGATTTACTGCGCGAGATATAGATTATCCGCAGTCACGTACACTCACGCGAACGAAACAGAAAAATCGCACCGCGTAAAAATTAATTTTGCATGGTCGCATAATAAAAAAAAAAAAAAAAAAAAAAGGCGGGCACGGCTTCCGTATGGCCGTGTGATTTCAATGAATTATCTATTTAATCTAAGCATGATCTAACACAACGATGCCTTTAACATGCAAGTTTCATTGGCTCCGGTTTATTTGCATACGATATTGTAATAGTCGCGAACTTTATTGTCGGACAATTACTGATTGTGTAACAAGGAGGTGTGTACGCCGATTTGCTGTCGTTGAATATTCGATCGTAATAATGGAGGCTCGTTAGCAAACCATTAGAAAACAGGGGAAAACCACTGGAACTATCCAGAACGACTAAAGTGCAAAACTTATTGTTGGCACGCACGTGTCAGAGAGATGAAAGGAATGGAAAGAGCTTACAGTCCAATTAAAAAATATAAACGTTTACTTGTATATTCGAGGGAAAATCATCTAAAATCTCCTGTGGGAATGCAACGTTGTAAACCTGTAAAAAATCTTGACCAAGTGAAAAAGTAAGAACACTGAAGTACGACACTTATTTCAGAAATAATAAAAAGGTCTACAGTGTCAACACGCGCTTTTTTATATATTTTATTAAGACAAAAGAATCATTGAAATCTCCAAAAATGCACCGTGTATGAACTTATAAAATTATAAACTGATCGCTTTGACCACGTTGCCAATTCTAGTATTGATTACGAAACAAAAAGAGAAAAAGAAAAAAAAGAACAAGTCGCATTTTTAAAACAGTCGACTGTTTCATTTTCCGTTCGATCCCTATCGGACAGATTTAACCAACAGACATTAGTCGTAATTAAGTAATGTTGATTTTTTACGGTACGGTGTGAAAAGGAAATCATTTTTTGATCGTTCCTTCTCCCTCATTATCTGATCGTGTCAATGCGCACGGTGAATAGAAACGCGAGTTAACTCTTGCTTGATCAAGATAGCGAATGAATTTATAAAAGCATTAAATTTCACGTTGCGTGGCACGTAGGATACACGAGGATGGCACAAAATTGTAAGGAAAATGCCATTACCGCGAGGAAAAACGCCTCCAGTTACCCAACAATAGGAATACCTGGAACAACTTCTCGTCTCGATTAATTAAACTACGTGTCTCCCGATGATTCAGTGAGAAAACGATGGACAAAGGATGAGCACGCGTGTTTCATTGCGTAATTGTCGAATACTTTGACGTATCGTTTTAACGTGAACTGACCATTGTGACCACAACAATCGGATATTTGATGTTTGCGACAGAAAACTGGCCAAAAATTGAAAAATATAAACTTCAATTCAGACTTTTGTTTTACTTAGATTTTATTTCTAACCCCACATTGGAATTTTCAATTTGAATTAATTTTGTTACTAATTTCTATGAAATACAAAATGAAATGAAATATCTTAAATTTTTATAACATATTGATATTGAATTCTTGAATTTTTGGTATGAATAACATTTTTATGATATGAACTGATATGTTGTTATTTCGTGTCATATCACTTGAGGGTTAAAATAAACTTTGAAACTTGGGACTTATCTTTTAACAATAAAAATAACTTTTCAACAATGAAAATTGACGATTAATTAAAAAATATAATTTAATTTCTTTTCATATTAAATATAATATAATCAAATTTAAGTAAGCTGTAACTTTCTCTCAATTAAATGATCTACGTACGAAAAATAATTTATGAGTTATAGGAATTATAAGAATAGATTTCTATCTATGCTTTGTTGAATCTTTGTTCACCTATTGCTGTGTTTCGCTGCAAATTCACTCGATCATCGCAAATCGGTTTACATAACGTTTCGCTTGGGTTTTTAACGCAGATCGAAGCAAAAAGCCGATTCTCATTTTAATTATATAGAAGCAACGTGATTAATTATAGATACCGCAATGTTTCGAAAAACTGTACTCGCGTCAATGCATGAAAGAGGAAAATGAGATGAATGGTATTAAAATTATCAATTCTTGATAATTCGAAGTGCGTCAGCAATTTCGAGTAACATTTTATTATTGTTCAATTATAAAAGTTACAATATGTCATACTTCGAGGGATAATATACTTATGTATGTTGTATGCGTATACAAACATATTGATGCAATCGTTATTACTATAACGCTATTCCTTTCTTTGTCTTTATATTATTAAATTATATATTATATTATTATGAATAGATTACGGATTTTTAAAAATACATATTTTTAAAAATATACCTCAATAAAAAATTATTTTACATTCACACAGGTGTTATAAGAAGCACTCCAGTTTGACAACAGTTTACTTAGATTTTCTTTTTATTCTTATTTCGATCGAATCTTTCTTATCACACGAACGTACAAAAAATCTAATCCGTAATCTAATTACAAATTAAAAACAAAGTTGCAGGAATTCTTACCAAAATCCGTACGTTGTATAAATAATAATTTTTTTTTTTTTTGGTATCCAAGAATCATAGCTGAGATTCTCGTTCGCAGAATAGAAAAGAAATTATTATTTGTATTAGTTTGCTACTGGGTACGTTTTCTTCTTTATCTAACAATCATTTGTTACCAACAGATCTGTTTGTATCTCTTGGAAGCATCCAGTACGAAGTTTCATCTCTCGAATTGTTCAACGGTCTTGAATAATCAGTGATTTGTATACGAGGTACAGGATTTTTCGACGCCTTCTGCGATCCACACAATTCCACGAAAATGTCTTTGAACATTCCCAGAAAATTGTTAAACGATTTCACCAACGGACACTCGCAGAATAAACTATCGTCTTTCGTCTGAGACACTGCGATACTGTTCTCGTATCCAAAAAACTTAATAGAAATAACAATACTTTCCTTAGTTGTTTCAATAGACACTCTTTTACTTTTGTCTAGAGTTTGATCCATCGTTGAGCTCGGCTCATTACGAACAGTTGAATCGGAAATTGTACTCGGGTCGTTCTGCAATTGTTCCACAAACTCAGTATTCCCTTTCATTTTATTGTCATTGTTCGCGACCACCTCGTTATTCGGTGGTCTCAAGCTCGTGTCACTTATACTGATCTTCGAAGAGGTCAACAGATTGTAAGTTCCTGTCTGTGAGAGTGAAATCGGTGATATGTAGCTCGGTTTTTGAAGAGGAATGTTCACCGTTTGATTTCTCCTTCGGCCGCTCTCATTAGCTTTTAAGTCTTTGCGCCTTGAGTAGATTAACCTGGAAATTTTTACAATCCGACAAAATTTTCACGGTGGTTAAATAATGAAATTATACGTTAATTTATATTAATTATTAATGAAGACTCGCGATGGATTGTTTGGAAAATTTGTGGCGACATTTAGAAAGAATCTGAATATATTGAGTCAGTAATCAACGTATCTATTTTTTACTATTTATCGGATAGCTGCATAATCGCTTTACTAAAAAAAAAAA